AGAGAGAGAGAGAGAGAGAGAGAGAGAGAGAGAGAGAGAGAGAGAGAGAGAGAGAGAGAGAGAGAGAGAGAGAGAGGTATATTTTCCTTGTATTAACCATCTTGTTGCACGTACACATCACACTGCAGATACAGCAATGAGAATGATTTTCTGTCATTCCACCTGTGCATCACCATCTGTCGTTGCTAGACGGTCTAGACCACCTTTACAGCATCCTCTCGTTGTTACTCGGCTGTTTTTACGGGTTGTAGCTGGCGAAGAAGGAGAAGAAGGATGGTGATCAGCAGGCAGCCTAAAGGGAAAAAAAAAGTATTCATTAAAGCGCCAGTGATTCCTGGCCTCCTTTTCCCAATGCAGAGTTTCGCCCAGCCCAAGGAAATCCGAACTGTTGCGCTGCCCAATTTGCCTTTGCCTTTCGTCGCCAGCTTTTTCCAAGACAGGCTCTCCGAGCATGCTTCTGCGGCCTGTCTTAACCGATGAGGGGTTTGTCAAAGGCGCTGACGACCGCCACTAGTGGTTCGAACTGTGAACTTTTTGAAAGTTCATTAAAGTCGAAACTTGTTTTTTGTATCTGCTGCTTTCACTCTCAGGGGTGAGGACAGAGATAAAAACAGGGAAGAGAAAAGGAGTTGAGGATATAAGAATTCATTTGAGATTCATTTGAGAAAAAGTTGAGATCGAGAACGCTTTTGACCCTTGGACGGATTTGTTAAATTTCTTTACTTATAGCCTTGCAGGTTCGATAACTTTTTTTTTTTTTTTTTTTTTTTTTTTGGAACCCTACACTTACAGATAGGAGTGCAGGTTCGATAACTTAAGTACCGTCTTCCCCCCGTCATTATAGCTGCATTTGGGGCGAAGACGGTGCTGTTGACGTGACATGATGGTTAAGGGATGTTAGTGGATGAATAAAATCCAAGAAGTGGAGCTGACTGACTCAATCCCAACGACAAATGTTTGTAGGGATCCATGCGATGATGATTGTGTTCTGAGCATCTTTTCTCCGAGTACAGGATCTGCTACGATCAAGCACGAAGTCGATCCTCGTTCATTTGATGGGGCAATTTAGGGGCCTGGTGAACCTATTTATTTATGAACCCCGTTTTTCCACTTATTCACCTGGCTACAGACCGGGACGTAGTGCTCACAAGGCCCTTAATTATAATGTTATAATAATGGGTCCCTTTCATGGTGCACAGTGGTCCATTCAAAGACCCCTGGAGGCCAAAAGGCACTGGAGGCTGGAGCCGTTAATCATGTAACTCTGTATAAGTTCATCCAGTGAATAA